GACGCCTGCAAAGTGGTTGGAAGGGATTCTTGCTCACGAAAATCCGCCACCAAAAGCCCAGCAACATCCTTTGAGCGCTTTTTGGCCACAATGGTTCCAAGCAGACCTTGGCCACAAGGGGTCACTGTTGCCTCAACCTGGGGGCTTCCCAGCCCCAAGGCGCACGGCTTTGCCGAAGGGGGGTGGGTGAGGTGCCCCATGGCCACGTGCCGCATTCCGCGCCTGAAAAAAATCCCGGCCAAGCCCGCTTCAGCCAAGAGCGTCGGCAATGAGGCTGGGTGGGGGGCAAGGTTCGGAGGGAGGCTCTCTCTGTCTCCCAGTTGCGTTCGGGTTTCCCCTTTGGCCCGAAAATAAGAGGTTAACCTTTTGGGGCCATGACTTCCTCAAGCGGCGAATCTGGATGAGCCCGCGGGCCAACGACGTGCCGTCAGAAGGCCCAGTACTGTGTTCTGGAAAAACAAAAGCCATAAAGGACACCCTTGCCTGGCGCCGTGGCACAGGCCTGCAGAATATCGGTCTGGCACCCGTTAGGGCAACAGACCCACATCATATGGCTATGAATTTTTTGGGGGTCTGTAACGCGCGACGAGGTCCTTGTTACGCAGGTCTGTAACGGGACAAACATTTCCTGACAAGCAGTATCAGTAGCACAATGTAGCGCAACACAACGAGGTATGTAATGGCTATGTAACGAGGTCTGTAACGAGGCAAAGCAAAGCGCACGACACAAAGCGCGCCTCCGCAGCTCCAGCTTGATTGCAGCTACCAAGCTGCGGCAAAAAGCACGGTCGCTAGCCCGGGCTGGAGTTGTCACGGCTATGTAACGAGGTCTGTAACAGGGCAAAGCGAGGCGCAGTATGCAAAGCGCGCCTCCGCAGCACCAGCTTGCTTGCAGCTATTCAACGCAAGCCAAGCTGCGGCAAAAAGGGGGGTCGCTGCCCCGGGCTGGGGTTGGGTCTGCAACGAGATTTGCAACGGTTATGTAACGAGGTCTGTAACGAGGCAAAGCAAACCAAAAGCACGCCTCCGCAGCTCTATCCAACGCAAGCCAGGCGGCGGCAAAAAGGGGGGTCGCTGCCCCGGGCTGGGGTTGGGTCTGCAACGAGGTTTGCAACGGTTATGTAACGAGGTCTGTAACGAGGCAAAGCAAACCACAGCACGCAAAGCACGCCTCCGCAGCTCTACTCAACGCAAGCCAGGCGGCGGCAAAAAGCGCGCTGGGGTTGGGTCTGTACTGAGGTATGTAACGGCTATGTAGCAAAGCAAACCGCACTATGCAAAGCGCGTCCGCAGCTCCAGCTTGCTTGCGGCTATTCACCGCAAGCCAAGCTGTGGCAAAAAGAGGGCAGTCACGTCACTGGCCCGGTTTGTTCATCTGAGGTGTGTAACGAGGGTGTGTGCAGCCAGGGTGTTTAACAAGGGGTGTGTAACGAGGGGTCTGTAACAAGCCAGCTGGTCTTGCTCCGTTGCAGACCCCTCAAAAAAAATCACTGCCATATGGGGAACACCCAGGCACACCCCAGCCCGGGCGAAAAACTGAGCTATTCACTCAACTGTCTGGACAAGAGTAGGTCGCAAGCTGGACCATGCACACGGTGAAGACCCACTTGCGTAGGGAGCTGCAGGCTGTCCACAAACACGCCGTACTGGGACACCCCCATTTGCCACAAGCTGGGCCGGAGCTTGTGAGCCAGACAGCTTTTTGGGGCCATGACCAAAAGTGGACCAAATCAGGGAAACCAAGAACAAGAAGGTTAAAAGGTCGGCTTTGGGCAAGTGAGAAACATGAACCTCGGGACCCCCAACGCATTCACAAAGCAGCCCCTCGCACGCCGCAAACCAGCCTATGCTCAGGCTCATTTTGTCAAAAGCGAGCTGGTACGCAGAGTCTCTTCGGCGGTTGGCTGACTTCTAACTGTGCATCTGTGCACGGCACACCATCGAGGCGATTGGTTTGGACAAAGTGTACAGCATCATGCCCACCCACTTGCTTGCAGTCATCACCTCGAGTGACCAGCAGCAAGTGATTCAAAGATATTCAAAGGGATGCAAAACGCAGAAAAGTGGCCATGGGTCAAAAGCCCGTACCCCCAGTGAACATCCCAATCCCCACTAAGATAGACTAAGATGGGTGGCGCACCTACCCCAAAATTGTACACTGGTTTTGACCCACAGCCAAGTGAGTTCCCCCAACAACTCCCTTGAGACTCGTAGGAGGCAACTATGGGACCCCAGCCACTGTCGGTAATCCTCTTGTAAAACTAGAAATGGGTGGGCACGGAAGGCTTGTGCGAGGCACAAGCCCCTTCAAGAAGCCACATGGTCCAGCCGACCAGGAATCGTGAAAAGCTTGATATCCCCAACAGCTGAAAGCAATGGGGTCTCTGCCCAGATAGGCTCTGGAAAGGAGGGTTTCAAGGAGTTCCGGGGCAGTGGAGGCACGGCTTTGGTCCCCAACTCGGAGCCCACATTGCTTGACACCCCCCCAAACAGTGGATGCATTGTGGATTGCACCCTGGATGACGATCCTTTTTGTGTGCGTCTCTCTTTGGCTAGGACGGGCTAAAAGAAGCCCAGGTGGTATTGGAACATATCGCGTAATAACACCTCTACCCTACTGGCTGCAAACATGACTACGGGAGTTTCTTGAAGCAGACAAAAAACATGCGGGTTGTGGTGGTTCCTTCACTTTGCCAACTAATGAAATGCAACTTGAAAATCGAGGCAAACAAAACACCGTCCACTGACCCATGTCAGAAACAACTTGTTCTTCTGTCATGCTGCCTCATAAGGCAGTGTAGATGTTGCAAGGAAGGAACGGGCAAAGTATGGCTTGCTGTTCATTTCTTCTGCATAAAGGTGGACCCACTCCGCAACTCAACGTTCAACTGCTAAGCTCAACACGAAAAACTTTTCTTGGACGGACTGCGGACTGTGTGGTTTCTACACCTCGTATGGTGTGGGCCAGGCAGTATCCGAATACTCTACGGCAGGACGGTCCGAGCGCATGGGCGCTCGTGTGTGGCCGCAGCTGCCGGCAACTGCCAATCCCCCAATTAATGCGCGGTCAGCCACACAGGTCTAAGACTTAACCCACTTTGGTGGGTAAAAAATTGGCTTCCTGGTGCGCTGCCTTGTGAGCGGACGCCCGAAAAGAACACAAGGTTCACACATATCGAAGATAAAAAGAGCTGGACAATGAAGAGGGAGGTCTGTAAGAAAAGGCCCAAGTAGGTCTCGAATGCACTGAATAGCGTCTGCATTGATGGCACTGATGACGTATTTGCACGCACAATGGTGCCATTGCCAAATTGCCAGCTGGAAGCACATTCGACTTCTTGAGCTTTGTGGGATCGCTGCTCGTGTGAGGGTTCCAGGACTTGGACCCAAATCCGGTCAAGGCCGCAGCTTCGGTGTTTTTTTTTTGTTAACTCTTCGAGCGTGTGACCCGTGACCAGGAAGCCGAGTGTCTGACAAAGGGCATGACCGTGGAATATGCACAGGGAAGGCATACCGCCAAGCGCCGAGACTAGAGTAACCCTGAGAATCGGGTTGGGCATCTCAAAGTCTTCATACGTCTTCTATCCCAGCTTGGCTACATGAGAGTTCGCGCCCTAAATGGGGGGGGCCCTCTCTGAATCTCAAGCCCAAGCGATGCGGCCCTAACAAGCCCCCCCATGCAATGCTTCCCAAGAAGACCTTCCTTTGAATCACAAACTACCACCGTTTCTAAGTGCCAAACCTACCTCCCCGTTCAAATTCCGGTGTGCCGAAACACGCACCCGAATTAGCCTGAGTTGGCTATGACTTTGGAAAGCACACCCTCGTGGGCAAAAAAAATGGAGGCAACCTTACTCGCCTATCTGAACTCTTAGGAAAGGATCCCGCATGGGCCCGTAGCTGGATACCACCAAAAAGTAATGTTTTTGTTTTTTTGCGACAAAAACAACAACATCTAAACTAGCGCCCAGTTCATGGTTCTAGCGCTGGTTCGGAAACTGGATGGCCCCTCCAAGTCTGATAGACAATTTGTCCTTGGGCGCTGTATATCCCGCAGCAAGAAGTTTCACTGTTTGGCAGGTTGCAAGGAAATATGAGGGGTATCCAACAAGTTTAAAGCTTGAATATCCAACCCAATAGCAGTAGAGTTCGTTTCTGAACTTCCTCTCTTTTCCTCAAAATCTGTGGGAATTCTCGGCGCAAAGGCGAATTGTGTAAGACGGCAATGACGCAAGCGTCATTGACGTCATTCAGCCCTGGCCGTTGGGCAGAAGCTTTGCTGCCGTTGCCAGGCACTATGCGGGTGCCAAAACGGCGCCCCGCATTCCGACTTCCGCGCCTAGCGGATGTGTCCATCGGAAACCCCAGGGCTCCGAGAGTCCCCGGAGACAAAAAGATGCGACACCGTCTCAGGCCGACAAACGAGCGTTGCGTCAAGGAGATACCCATTCACATCAGCCCTCCCCAGGCATTCTGGATGGAGGTTGACATGGGTACGTCTTGCCACTCGAAACTCTCTCTCAGTGTGCTGGCGTTAATTGGGGTCGCCAGCTGTATGTTGAGCTGGCATGAGCTGCCCCCACAACCCAGGACCAGGCCCACCAAGAGGTGCAGCACCGATGGTGTGCATGTCTGACAGTTGGCAAACAACAAGCTCAAAGTTGCCACGCGTGGCAAACTGTTGGACAAGAGACAAGAGCAATGAGCGTGCCATGATTTAACATTTGGCCTTGGCCTTGAACCTCTAAAGCAAATCTGCTGCTTCCTTGCTGGACAGTCCTGGGGCGGGAAACGAATCCTGCCAATCCGCGAGGAAAATGGAGCAGTGGCAACCTAAGCTCTTACACTTGACACCTAGGCTCTTTGGCTGGCCCAAAGTACATTGCCTCTAATCCTGTGGCAGCAAATGAGAGCTGGCAAAGGGCCGATCACTGCCAAGACAAGTCCCTGTTTCAGCTTCGGCTTCTCGAAGCTCAGAATCTTTCGTCGCAAAAAAGCCA